AACTCCTTACACTGCCACGTGCCAAACATCCAGTCCTCCCCGCTGTTGCTGAAGTGGGGACAAGGCCACTTTGCAGGAAGACCCTTTGAAAGACGAACACAGCAGCTGTTTCCGGACTAGGCCTGAGCAAATTAATCTATCTTCCCCAAAAGGAAAGAGCTTACAAGGATTAAAATGGCAGAAAACAGGACCGGCCGAGTGGCGTGTTGTTGGTTAAGAACTGGCTTGGGGCACCAGCTCTGAGCAGCAGGACCCCAGTTCAGATCCCACATTAGGGCCAGTGACACTGCGCCCTCTACAGCTAAGATGGTGAACAACAGCTTGGCCTGGAGCTGGGTTGCTGTGAGTCACCTGTGATGGCATAGGCTGCAGTGAGGCTGCAGTGGGCTGCCATAAGCTACCGTGAGTGGCTGGCAGCCGGCATAAGCTACAAAGAGCTGCCCTGAGCAACCGTCCAGTGGTCGGTGACCAATCTGCCTCACCCAGGAAGAGCACAATTATAATACCACCATGGCCAGTGAAGCGACGTCCTCCACAACTAGATTGAAGAACAAAAGAACAGTAACTTGTCTGTCCCCCTTCCCAGATTCCCCAATGCTGTTCTCCTCCCCAATTCCCCAATAAAATCTTGTATAAATAAATAAAATGGCAGAAAACAAAAAATAAATAGATGACCATTGATATGGAAATGGTTCATTCATTCTTTTATTTAATTTTTTTTTAATTTTTTAAAATATTTTATTGGGGAATTGGAGAGTAGAACAGTGTTGGGGAATTGGGGAAGGGGAAGATTGTGTTTCTCCAGGACCCATCAGTTCCAAGTGAAGTTGTTGCCCTTCAATCTTAGTTGTGGAGGGCGCAGCTCAGCTCCAAGTCCAGTTGCCACTTTCAATCTAGTTGCCAGGGGACGCAGTCCACCATCCCATGCGGGAGTCAAACCGTCAACCTTGTTGTTAAGAGCACACACTCTCACCAGCTGAGCCATCTGGCCACCCGTTGGTAGCTCAGCGGCAGCTCAGCTTGGACACAGCTCACTGGCCCATGTGGGAATCAAACCGATGGCCCTGTTGCTCAGAGCTCGCACTCTTAACCAACTGCACCACCTGGCCGGCCTATTTAATAATTTTGTATTGACTGCCTGCTATGTGCCCAACGCTCTGCTGGCTACTAAGGAATCAGTGAAGAACCAGGCAGATGTGGTGCAGTCTCTGCCCCCATGGAGCTTACACCCTATCAGGTAAGGCTGACATTAATAAAATACTACTGCAGATAAACAAATGACTGTAATCTATGAAGAGAAAATACAGGCTACTTTGAGAACATGTTACAGAAATAGCCACCCCCTCCCAGCCTGTGGTGTCTGGAAGACTTCGCTGGGGAAGCTGCCTTTGAGCTGCGCTTCGAAGAATGACTAGCAAACTCCTAAGTGTGTATAGAAAAGGTATCATGTTCCAAGCAGAGAGAACAGCATGTGCAGTGGCCCTAGGCAGAAGGAAACATGATGTGAACCAAGCACTGAAAAGCCAGAACCACTGAGTCAGAGAGAGCACAGGAGACAGTGGCCAGGAGGAGGCCTGAGAGGTGGGCGGAGGCTGAGCAGGTCCAGGCCGTGGGCCAAGTCAGGACTTGGCGTTTCCTCCTGGGTTTTAAGTAGGAGAGTAACCAAATCAGATTTGCATTTTCTAAATACGAATATATGAGGGGTCCAAGCAACTCTTCCGAGATGCAAGAAATGGTCTATATTAGGTTCACAGGTGTAAACCTATAGAAATCCATCAAGTACTTTCTGCATTTTATTATTATACCACAGAAAGAAAAGAACAAAAGGGCCTGTGATTGGCCAAGGCTGGCTCCCACCACCCCTGGGGGCCCAGAAGAGAGGTGCTGTAACTGGCAGGTCCACCAGAACCACGGGGTTAGGCCTAAGAAGAAAAGTTCCTGAAAAGAAGGGGGCCATGGGAAGGAGCGGGAGGGTGGGAGCAATGTTCTATTTCCAGACAGCAGAAGGGGTGCTGACTAGACAAAGTAACTAACACGCACCAAGATGGGCAAAGAGGGAGCCCAGTGGCTGGCCCAGGGGCCTCTCAGCCATACTGGTCCCTGTCCCCCCGTCCCCTTCCTCACACTCAGGGTACTGCTCCCAGGAGTACTGCTTCACTCCCACCCCCTTACCCTCTAGTTTATTTGGCCCTCACCCTCAGCCCTCTTTACAATCCCCCTGCTAAGGTGATCATGGACCATTTTCACCCAGATCATCTTGGGCAGGGCAAAACCTTGGAATGACAATATATGAAGGGTGGCCCACAAATGCTTGGAAGACTCATCGTTTTATTCCTGGAGGGGAGAGAGGTGGGAAATAATGCCTGGTTTCGTCTGGAATGGTCAAGCATAAGACTTCTCTACATGTGGATTTTCTAGAAAGCTAAAATTCAGTCCCATAAAAAAGCAAGATTTTTTTTTCAATGTCTGTCAAAAATTTAAATGTACTACATACACTTTGACTCAGCAATTCCAGGAATTATTCAGATATCCTCACCATGTATGATATGACATGTATCCAAGGTTATTATTAACTGCAATATTGTTCTCATAGCAGAAGGTTGAAAAGACCCACCAATTGAGGACTAGTTAAATAAATTGTGACACATCCTTGAGTGGAATATTATGCAGCTGTGAAAAGGGGTGAGGCAGCAACATACATAATGATATGGAAGAAACAGGTGTTGAGTGAATGTCAAAGCAAAAAATAACACCACATATCATATAATACCCTTTGTGAAAGATAAGTATACATGTATACATGTATGTATTTAAGGAATTATATAAACTGTGCTTGAAATGAATTCTAAGAAACAGGTAATATTAGTTTTTCTCTGGTGAGGAAGGAGTCACTTTTGTACTCTAGAATTGTATATAAGGAATATTTATTACCTATTCAAAAACAAAAACAAGGTTTAAACTTTTGAGCTATGTATGACATGCGTATGTATGATAAAAATCTAATATTGTCAAAAAAGCACTGGCCCAAGTGGCAGGACACCATTTCTATCACTTACAATGTAATCTTACTCAAGGTTACACAAAATGGGGATTTTAATATCTGCCTCCCAGGATCATTGGGGGGTTGGAATGTGCTGTAGCACAAGATTTGCCATCAAGTAGGTATTTAAGAAATGGCAGCTTCCATCTTTCCTCAGGGTCCTCATCTAAATGAGAATTGGACATCCAATTCCTATATTTGTTTAAATACTGAAAGGTAAATGCAGGACAGTGTCTCCTGAACACTGAGTGTCCTTGATCACATAATAGATACACAATAACCTGAAAAGGAACGAGAGAAGGAAAGGGAATTCTCCCTGGAGCCCTCCTGCCTTTCCCTGAGCACATTGGAGTGTGGAAACTGTGAGACTATCAGTGGGGCCCTAGGCTGTCCCCAGCATGGTCACTGCCTGGGGGCAGGGCCTGGTAAGACAGGTGACCAGCTTCAGAATCAGGTGGGGAACAATTGAAAATATTGATTTGGGGCCTCGGTGGGCAAGAGGACCCTCTCACTGGGTGCTGCACCCACCCTGGGCTGACACCACCCTCCTGGCTCTGGGGGCCTGATGAGAGGGCGTCACACATGAACAATGGGCAGAAGGTTGGTATTGTTTTATGAAATTTTTCAGGTGTGTGTGTGTGTGTGTGTTTGCAGATTGTGATAAAAATAAATTTCTTGCCGGGAGCTGCCAAAATAGTTAGAGCCACAGCTCTAGATAATGGTGCTGTTCGTTTTATCATCAAAAAGGGAAGTCCGTTATTGTGACACAGTCCAGAACCCTGGCCCTGGCCCTGGGACTGAGTGGGAGGGAGTGGGGGAGGCAGCATGCCTGGCCTCGGTCTGGAAGCAGCTCCACTAAGGTGGGCAGCTGGGGAGGTAGCTGGGATGAGCTCTCAGGCAGGGACCCGGGGCCTGGGAAGTCAAGGGCCCAGGGAAGTCGAGAGCCCGGGAGACCCCACAGCAGGACCAGAACCTGAGTGTCTTACACCAGGCTGTCCCTGCTCCTGTACCCTCTGCATGTGCTTGTTTATTCTCCCTTAGTGATTTGTTAAGTCTGAAAATGCCCCCATCTCAGCTGTGCTAAGTAAGGGCTTGTCCACTTTGTCCTGTGCTAAGGGGCCAGAGTGTATGCCTAGAACTATGTGGTGCTGGCAGTGGAACCAAGTGCCACGGACACACTGCTCCACCCAGCTGTGTCCTAAACCTGTGCCTGCCCTACGCCTTGGAGACTGTGTTTCAACAAAGACAGGCAAACCCCTTTACACACTTACAAAACCCATACACACCCATACACACAGCACGCCCTTGACATGCAAACCGATTGTAGAAAGGGAGTGGTGAGCAGCAATGCCGGGTGGGTGTGACTGAGTGGAGCAATAAGATCCCACATATCAATGCCAAGTCCTACGCTTTCTTGGCTTCTAGGAATTGTGGGTATTAAGAATGGACTCTGGGCCTTTGAAGAAATGGGAAAGCCAGGACTCCTTGGTCCCAGGTGCAAAGGAATAAAAATGGTGAAGAGACATCTCTGGCCACCAAGAAAACACCATGTGCCGGGCTGAGGAGACAGCCCTTGAGAACTGGACAGCCCTGGGTTTGAATTCTGTATCTGTCACTTTCCAGTTAGGCCAATTCCTTGGTCTCTCCAGGTCTGACTTTCCTTATCTGCAAGTAGTCCTGAGGTCATCCTCCTGTGGTTTATGGGAAGGGAAACTAAACTCTCCCCTGATAATACCATCTGAAACCTGCTCTGCCAACTTCCCAGGTTTGCTACACAGATAAAATGAAATGGGATGTGTGAGAGCATACATGACCAAGGGCTCAACCAGCTTTCAGCAAAAAAGTCTCTCTGGGAACAGTCTGGAGGAGGCCAGACTTTCCTCCCAGTGCCCACCCCTCTCCAGGACCTCCCAGCTTCTGATTCCAGGGACCACTCCATGGACTAAGGGCTACACACACAGAAGTAGGGCTGGTATACCCAGCTGAGACTTTATTTTGGAAAAAACACTTGACTTGGCTTTTAGTTGGGGGCATGGGTAAGAGGCGGTCCCCTAGGCAGTAGACACCTCCCCCAAGGGTGGGCTGAGGACTGGGGCACCTCCTGTGCCCAACACTCTCTTGCTCAGCTCCTTTCCCACAAGGTCGGAAGCCAGGAAGGACCCCAGTAGCCTGGCCTTTCACTTGGGCAGGACATCAGATGATTCAGACACCAGTTTGCCATCTCTAGTCTCAATTTTCTTCACAACCACGGTCTTGGAGGAGCTGGTGCTGGAGCGGCTGGAGTAGCCAGAGTCCCTGCCAGAGCTGAAGTTGGACTGGAAGTTTAAGCCGTAGTTGTTGAAGCCAGGGCTTACGACTTTCCCATAGACGGGGCTCATCAGCCCACCTG